GTGAAAAAGACGGAGTCTTAAGCAAGTATATCTGTAATAATTGCCAGTTTTATTCCTCTGGCTAAGAGATCCAGAGGTAATTTGAAGTTTACATTGGGTGGGGAGGGGCAGAGAGAGAAGCAGACTCCCCACTGAGCAGGGAGCCTGATACGGGGCTTGATCCCAGGACCCCGGGATCATGACCTGAGCTGAAGGCAGACACTTAACAGACTGAGCCACCCAGGCGTTCCCAGAAATCAGTATTTTAAAGATGCTCCCCAAGGTGGTTCTAATGCAGGTGATGATGCAAGACTTTGATGAAACATTTGGAGAGCAATCTATTTCATGCACTTTCTTTTTGGAAATGCTTTCCATAATGTTAGAGGAATAAAAAACTTGTGGGAGACTATTGAGTCAACAGCAAAATGTGGATAACACCAGCTCCTTAGTAATAATTAAATCAAGAAACCAATTAAATATTAAAACATGTCTCAGTTAAACACAAGTACGTAGGACTATCAGGAGGCAAAGTTTTTGTTCTGTAGGGGAAATAAATACAATTCCTAACATTTACATAATAGCCTTTCTACTAGATTTATAGTTCTTAGTGCCTTGCAAGTTTTTTTTTTTCTTTCATGTTTTAACTCGGGATGGGATAGGGTGAAGGGGACTATTGCCTTAGATCTGTTATCCTGTCTTATTGTGTGCAACTTATGGATATGCAGTCTTCTGAACCAGCAGGGCAGGCCTGCCAGGAGCCTTCAGGGAGAGATCATCTCACCAGAGAAGGAAGACAAAACCTTAGTCCTTAGACCTAAGGCAACTCTGACTACCGCTTTTTTTTTTTATTCAAACTTGTACCTTGGTCCAACTCCCAAAACGGCCTTATCACGTCTGACTCCTATTTGGAGGAGGGGTCCTGGGATTGGAAACAGAAGGGGCTGTTTTGCTAAGAACCCTGCAAGGCAGCATGGCCCAAGCCGTCTCACCTGTGTGAAGGGTCACTATGAAGCAGAGAGGCTTCAGAAGACAGAGTAGGGGTTCGACCCACTGGGGA